AAATGTTTTTGTTGAATTTATTTTGCTGTCTTTTTATTTTGATAACCTTGATAAAAAAATTATTATTAATATCCTTCGTATATAAAATAAAAAGAATTTTTATCATCCAACAACTTAATTTTAGTTTGTTTGACATAATTTTAATATACCAACAAAAAAAAAATAAATAAATAAATTATTTATTTATTTATTTAAAATTATAAATATTTATATTAATAATTAAATTTTTTTGCGCAATAACACCCGAAAAAAAATTGAAAACATAATATTATTATACATCATTATTTATTCTGATCAATTTTTTTTTTATTAATAAAATAAATTCGACTAACATAATTAGTAATAACTTATTAGAATGCGTAAAATGTTTTTTTTTTTTTTTTTTTTTTTAATAACAAATAATTAATAAAATTTATTAAAAATAAAATAATTTTCATTAAATGAAGTTTTTTTTTCTTTTCCAACACCTGACGAATAAAAATAATTTTTTTTTTTTTTTACATCTACCCCATTTTAAATTGAAAATACTACAACAATATTTAAATAATTTACAATAAATACAATAATAAAGTAAACCGGGGGATTGGGGGGGGTGGGAGAGGGGAGGCGCACGCATTTTTTATATTCATTTAATCGTATATCAATAATAATAATAATAATAATAAATAAATTTTGATTTAAAAAAACAAAAAAAAAAATCCAAAAAAAAAAATCCAAAAAAAAAAAACATTTCTTATTATCAAGTTTTATTTTTATTATTTAAATACTAAAATTTAACAAATAAATCTGAGGGGGGGGGGGAAATTGTTTATGTTTTTTTTTATACATAATAATGAATAATGACAAATGTGATTTTTTTTTTAAATTTTGAATAATTATTATTATCATTGTTTTTAACCATTAAATTACAAATTATTAAATACAAATATAAACTAATTAATATTTATTTTTGCGAATAAACGATTTAAACTAAAATTCTAAGTAAAATTTTTTTTTTTTTTTTAATTATAATAATTTAGAAATTAATTTCATTCTTTTTGTGTTGAAAATAATAATAATAATAATAATTTCTTGAAAATGAATACTGGTTAAATATTCAGCATTTAAACTTTGAAAAAAAAATATATATATATATAAATTTTTTCTTTTTTACCTTGATTACTAGTTAATATCAAAATTTAAACAGTTTTATAAAAAAAAATTTCCATGATTTAAATACAAAAAAAAAAAAAAAACAATTAAAAATACATCATTTAAGTAAATAAATAATATATAAAGCAAGCAATAATTATAAGAAAACAAAAATATTTGTAACAAAATATATTTGAATATTAATAACAAATTAGGATTGTAAAAAAAAAAAAGAATTCAATTACTTATTCGATATAACATTTATATATGTAATAATACTTTTTTTTTTTTTTAATTATTATTATTTTATCATAATGAAATTAAATTTATAAATGATAGATAATTTTTTTTTTTTTTTTTTTTTTTTCAGTTTAAAATAATTTAAACAAAACAAAAAGAATGAATGATATTTGGAATGATTTATATGAAATATATGATTTAACATAAAATGCTACATTTTCCATTAACAAAAAAAATAAATTTATGTTATAAACTTATTGGGCATGAATTTTATAATTCTTGTGTATTTCTGGCTTAATATCATAGACCAATTCTAAAATTTCTTTAATAACAGCAGTTTTAGAATTGTTAACAGCTTTATTCATTTCATCAATTTTAACTTTAGCATCTGCTTCGATTCTAGCAGCGACATCTTCTTTAGAACCCATGTGTTTCGATTCGAATTCTCGAAATTGTTTTTCCCTTTCTTGTCTATATTTTTCAATTTCATCATGTGCTTCTTCTTTGGCTTGTTTTAATCTTTTTGCCTTTCCTTAAAA